TTTTTTTTAATTGTTTTTTTTTCTCTTCTAGTAGAAATTTATTTATATGCAGTTATAAAAAGGGGTCAATTGATAAAAAAAGAAAAATAATCGGCTAACACATTTAAATATAAATTTTTTTTATTTTTACTTTTTATGAAATAAATAAAAGCAATTATTGTAATAATGATTATAGGAGAATTGGTAATAATTCTACCGTTTTGTTTTGTCGTAACAATAAAAGAACAAATTTCTACAAGAACATAATGCTGGTAAACGATTCGAGGAGTTGTTCTCTTACAAATCGTTTTCGAAGCTTAGGCGAGGTACGGATTATTTAACGATCCGTTTGGATTTCCGGGATCGCGTAACGTACGATCGACGATTAAATTCTCTCGTTATAGAGAAAGCCCGTACAATAATGGATCGAATGGCATTACGAGCACACAACGCATACGTTTTATCGAACGTGAACCAAAAGGATCGTTTCGATGCACCACGTAGTATGGCATCGTTATATATATATATATATATATATATATATATATTAGGGTGGGTCAAAAAAATCAATTATTTTTTTTTTTACAAGTGACACGGAAAAACGGGTTGCTAGACACCTTAAAAAAATTCTCACCAAATATGAGCGCTTAATTTTAATAGGAAGATCCTCCGCGTCGCAGTTTTTTATTTTTTTCTTAGTCCAATAGAATAAAATTCATACCTCATTATTTATTGATTGTACAGAAAAATGTTCTGGAAAAATTTTGTAGGAAATTTAATGCTCTACAAAAAAGGTATCTTATATTTTTTCCGTAAACCTCACCATTTGAATGATATTGAAGATTTAAGTTTGATTATTTTTAGACAAATCTCATTTTTGTTATAAATTTTATAACTCGACAATAAATGACTATTAAAAAATGCGCAATAAAAATTTTTGTAGGAAATTAACTGCTCTATAAAAATGGTGTCTTATATTTTGACGATTAAATTAAGCGTTCAAAAGATATTTATCATCAAACTTTCATGTGTACTGATTTTAGGAGTTTTTGATTAGATAATCGAAAAATTTCAATTTAATTTATGAAATTCATACAAATTTCATTTTTTGTCATTAATATAAGTATTATTTGAGTTTTATTTTCAAAATTTTTGAAAATTTTTTTTCAATAATTCTAAACATTTTATTTTTAATCATTAGAAATCACGATCAAGTTGTTTTTTTCGATAACGTCTACAAAACGTCTGTAAAAATATATATATAAACGGGTTCAATTTATTGCAAGAATTATTCGTCTTCGTGGAAGGTGGAGCGGAAAGCTATGCATAAGAGAAAGATAGAGAGGGAGACACACAAATAGATAAAAAGCGAAAGATAGGAAAAACCCATAACAATTCCGGCACATATTTTCATCATTCTCTTTTCTTTCCATCTTTTTTTATTTTTTTATTTTTTTATTTTTTTTCTGTACGGTTTTCATCGATTCAGCCCTGTTTACTTTAGGTTTCTCTTCTAGAGCGTAGTTTCAGCCATTTCTCTCCCTTCGGGGTGACGAGTTTGAACGTTCGAACGTAGCTTGAAAAAACAGTAAACCGAGCATCGAGACGAATTTATTCCAGCGTGATCCTTTGCCATCGAGACGTCGCTCGAATGCGTTCTCGCGATTCGACGAGTGAACGAGAGGAAACGAGGAACAGTGCGAGAGAGAAAAAGAGAGAGAGAGAGAGAGAAAGAGTGCTTTTATCAACCAGGGCTGTTGGCAAAGGCCGCAGGCTGTTAACCTGTTCAAAACCTTCTGCGTTAGTACAAGCGGACACTTTAATTCGTCGATCACAGTATGTTATATACATAGCAGAAATTCTTTTGCAGTTGGCAGCTTACATATACGTACACGCGGTCGAGATTTTCAAATAAAAATAATCCATTCCTTCTTCATCTCTCTCTCTCTCTCTCTCTCTCTCTCTCTTTCTCTCTCTTTCTCTATTTCCCTTCCTATTGTTTTTTTTTCTTTCAATCTACAGCGGAAGTTTTCATCGTAGCACTTATCAATTTCTCGCGATCGAATCGAAAAGGGCCCTGCATTATCGTTCGCAATTTGTATTTTTATTCGTTCGTTTCGTTTTATCATCAACCGAAGATCCAAATCTATAGATTATACTAACTCTTAGGTATTTTGTTTTTTTTATTTCAGGTGATTTTTCATTACACATATATCCGGTAGAGCTTGAGGATGACGGAGTTTATCAGTGCCAAGCTTCGCCAACGAACGACGGTCAGCCAGCATTACGATCGAGATTCGCTCGTTTGAGCGTTCTGGTGCCGCCCGAGCCACCTAAGATCCTTCAGGGAGACTTTCTCGTAACGACCGAGGATCGAGAACTCGTTATAGAATGCGTCAGTGTTGCTGGAAAACCACCGGCTGAGGTAAGATCCAGCGATAATAAAACGTAAGCCCGATTATTAGGTAAAAATAAAAAAAAGACAAAAAGAAATATATAATAAAAACTTGAGGCAAAATATTGTTATAAAAGAAAAAGAAGTAATACGTTGATGATGATGACGGTAATAGTAAATTTTAGTTAATACGTTCCGTGCCACGTGTACCACCGGTGATACATGTTAAATTTGATCTTCAGGCCGCGTGTAACACCGGCAATTTACTTAGACATATTTATTTAATGTTGTAAAAATATATGTTTATAACAAATTTAATTATATAAAAATATATTTCTATTAAAGTATATTGAGACATTGTACAAAATGTAATATAGAACAAAGCACATAAATTTGTTTAATTTTTATATTTACAATAATTAATAGTTACATGTAATGGTTGATTTTGTTAAAGCAAGATCAAATAGCCTGAACGACAAATCAGGCAAAAAAGGCTTGGTACGAAACGTGTTAATGATAGACAAGTAGGACTAGTTTAAGGCTAAAGAAATAAAAGAGCAATAAAATGACTGGAAGGTGTTGAGTGCAGAGGAAATTGACGGGCAAGGCGTCAATTCGCAAAGTTACGCATGATCGATTATATGTCTCACGTCGTTGCCTGAGGAAATCGATGTCGCGTTACAATTGTTGCTGACAATGACGCAGGGTTGCGTTGAAATATGTCAATTGTGATGATGATGATGATGACGACGATGACGGTCATTGTGATAGTAGTGACAATTTCGCGCGAATCCGTAGCTACAAGCTGTCTTCTTACCTAAAAAAGAACCTTGTTGCGAGAAATTCTTGGAAGAGAATGCAATAGTGACAGTAACACTCGCGTTCTCATATTAGATACGCATGTCTTACTTCGAGGAAACCTAGTCACTCGTTTATTTCACAGTTTTATACGGTTAACTTGATATTTTCATGACGCTTAATTTCTGGACGTGTAGGTAAATTGGTGAAAAGAGTAAACTAAGATTAAAAGAAAGAAAAAGAGGGAGAAAAAGAGAAAGTTGATTTGATGAACAGAAGAAAAATACGTATAAATTATAACTAAAAGCTGTGGTTAACAATTTTTGTGCTTGGAAGCATCACCTGGACACGTATGAAAGTTGATGAAAAGGGTAAAGAAAGAAAAGAATAAAAAGAGGGATGAGTCGGTGACCGCAAAAAAACGAAAAAAAAAATGTATAAATATAACTAAAAAGCTGTGGAAAATGATGGTAGGTGGAGTTAGTAGTAGGTGTATAACTAGTGAAAGGATAGCGGTAATGGTAAGGAGTATAAATATAAAGGAAAAAGAGAGCAAAAGAGAGCAAAGGTCGAGAATTAGAACGGGACGAACAAGCTCGTCCCGGACAACGTTAAGAGAACGGTAATGGATCTTTAGCCGGTACGTGTTTGTCCGTATTTCCGACTTTTCGTAGGTACATCGTGAGCGCGCGAGCGCAAGCGCTTACCCTACCAGAATACTTTTAACATGATAGACCGCGAGTGACTTGGCGAAATGGCAGCTTGACCGAGTTCGGCTCTTCTTTGAACAAGCCGGAACCACCAGCGGCTGTACGACTACCATTACTACCACCACTAGCATTACCATTACACTATCACTGATATCGTCAGGCTTAACCACCAACAGGAACGGTCTGCTCTCTCTTCTAGTGGTGTATCTATTACTAAGAAGAAAAAAAAATGTTCTGTATCTTTGAGATCACGGTGCGCAGTTTTACGAAGAGATAAAAAAAACCGCCGCGAGCCGTTAAGATAGAAGAGAGAGAGAGGAAGAGAGGAAGATAGAAAGCAAGAGAGACGAAAAAGAAAGAAAAAAGAGAGAGATAGTATTCTTGTATAAAGCCAGTTCATGATGCGTTTCACCCTTCGTTTGCCATTCCCTCTACCTTTATCTATTCTGCTATCTCGACTATTTCTCTTCCTCTCTTTCTCTCTTTTTCCCTCACTTTCTTCTCATTCTTTATGTATAAATACAGACGTATGTCGTCCCTGAAACGACACTTGCTTTGGCTCCTGCACCATTTAAATCTTAGTATCATTAACCCTTTACAGTCAGAATGTTGTACACTCAGCCAAGCATGATATACCTACGGAGTATATACATCAAGTAAGATCATACAACGTACATACACATTTTACTTACTTACATCGAAATCTTTATGAGATCAACCTACCGCATCTTCTCACACTTTTCGTCGTTCCTTCTTATGTTTTATTCTTAGTGACTCGCGAAAAAAATATCTTCATCTTACCTTACCTTACCTTACCTTACCTTACCTTACCTTACCTTACCTTACCTTAC